TACACTTTACAATATAAATCGAGGGTTTCAAGGTAGAAGAGCAAATGCTGTCTATAAAGTTTATGTCGTTTAAACATCAAAAATATACGTTTTCCTATTTTGAATAAAGCTTGCGAATTGAACATCTTGGGTATACCGTATGACTGCGACAAGTTATTTTAAAATGTCCTCGCTTGACGCCAACAAGGTACAGGAAATCTATATAAATAAGATAAGTGGTAACGATATATCACAGTACAACACAGTACAACACACCGTCGTCGGGTGCGGACGTGTCAGCTTGAAAAGACTAGTGAATGCTACGCGTTGTATGTTTCGGTATCTGTATCGCGCATTATCAACATGAGCAAAGCCCATCCACTGGAATTAAAGAAGTTTATGGATAAAAGATTGGATTTAAAGTTGAATGGTGGACGATTTGTTACGGGTATATTGCAAGGTTTCGATCTTTTTATGAATCTAGTCGTGTATGATGGAACAGAGCGTAGAAAAGATGGGATCACTGCACCTGTTGGAATGGCTGAATGGTGGTCGTGCATGCAAATTCGATATTAATGTTGGAAGCATTGGAACAGATACAATGATTTTAAAATGAACCAACCGAAAACGACAAAAGAACCGAACACCCCAATCCATGATTTGTGCATATACTGCTATGGAACATCCAATCCATTTACCAAGCTTGTTTTTTAGTAAAAAAAAATTTGTCACTGTGTTATTTTTGCAATATAATTGAAGTAGGCCCACAACATCACCATTTTTCGTTAGCGAGTGTTTTAATCCATATACCTGTATAGGAAAAGCACATACACGTCTCACATTTTAATTTTAATTTATAAGTTGTTGCCCGATGTTACATCGTGTTTTTGTTTTATTCTGTTTTTGGGGGACGGGCACGTACTTGTACGTATTTAACTTTTTTATTAAGTTATGCCCGTCCTCCAGGTCCTCTGTATTTTGTTTGTCCCTTTGTTGTTGTTTTGTTTGTATCAGAGTGACCGAATAAAATTGATTGATTGATTGATTGAACTTGAGCTAGTTAGCAATGGACCACACGAGTGGTAGCGCGACAAATGTTTTTTTTTTTGAGGTGTAAATGCCAGAATCCGTTGTAATGTTGAATTTATTTCATCGTCTGTTATGTTGATTTAGAAGTCGAAAGAAACTTCATTTTCATAATAAAATCTTCATGCAGTCCCAAACGAATTAGCTGGGGTAGTCTGGGGTAGCGCAAGGATATTTTAGTAACTTTTAGTAGCGTTTAAATGAGGCTGTGATCACTGTAACAGTGACATATTATCACTGTTGAAAGATCCAGAATAAAATTTATTAACGAAAGATAACATATTAATTTATTCAATCAAATCCTGCAATGGCTATTGTGAACATAGAGCGAAACGATATCCTAATCCATAAAACAGTGTCTCGTGATCACCATCTGGTGGCAGTATCAATTGATGGGCTATTTCCACTAGACGTGTGCGTGAGACCTATATATAGTGTCTTATTTATGGCTACTGGGTTTTTACTTCAAAGGTCGGTACAAATACCCGTTTCTCACACAAATTCTATATGCATGGACCATGCATGAGGTAGTAGCATTATGATTCATGGTAGTTTAGGACCTTCCAAAGCAAACATGTGATAATTACAATAACATTGTGATAAAAAAAAAACTTTTCTTCTTTTGAAATGCAATACGAAAATTACAAACACACAAGACAAAAATTCAGGAAATTTGCCAAAACTTTAAACGCAGTCCAATAAAACGTGTAGGACAAAAGTACTACATGGGAAAGGTAGTAGTGGAATAATAATTGTAGTATAAGTATTATAGTAGAAAATATTAATATTTTTTTATAAATCAGAAAATTAGCATGACTATTACCTAAGATGAAATAGGTATGACATTTTTATTGAGTCTTGTGGGAGATTTTCATTAGAATTCAAATATTCTTACTACAGATTTTAATACAAGTGCAACTTTATAATGTATGGCCAAAAATATCAGTAACATTGTACCAGTATTGCAGGTACAAATTGAAAACAATTGGCAGACACAACAAAGAACTATAATGTGTTTATCGACAAATTGTATGATGAACGTTGTGAACCACTTTTTGGTATTCATGTTCATACCATGGAAAAGTGCTTATGAATGGATAAGAAATGTTGCAGAAAGATATTAAAGCGACAACATCATCCGCTGTACTGTATATCATATCACAAATGAGAAAGGGTTATTTATTGAAGTTTTTCCCAAGGAAATTTTTTTATAAGGAAATTTTCTCAAAGCAAGGTCACACGTACTCACTCAGAAATATAGGAGATCGATCTCTGAGTGAAGTTACAGTCAACCACCGAAGTGCCAAGAGCAACTGGGACTTTAAATCATTAAAATACTGATTGACATGAGACTCAAAGCAGTTCATGTCAATACGATCAGGAAAACAGTTCAGAGGTAGTGAATTCCATAAACTGGAGTTCTTGAAAAAAAAATTTGGCACTAAATTTTCGGACCTCCTGAAATATGCGCACCAAGATGGTGCACAATCTTAACTCTGAAGATTATGTACCAGGTTAGGATTCAGGTTGTGTGACATCTGGGAGCGCATACTTCGAGAGTACCAAATTTTCTTCTTTCAAATTTCTTTCTATGGTAGGTACACTACACTGGCAGTGAACTGGATGGAACTCACAACCAACCGAGTTTTAAGACTAAAAAATATCGGCGGCCATGGGCATGAGCTCCAACTTTCATTGACATGTTTCAAGCCACTGAAATTTGCTCCCCAACTAACAGATTATTGATCAGGGCTTACTTCACCTCATTCAATTTCAGAATGTCATATACATAATCCTTTTACAACTCATCAAAAAAATTTTCATTTAACGCCATGTATATATTGCACAAAGGATGATTAACCAGAATATCAAAAAAAGCAATCTCATTGTTACATATAAAGCTATATAAAGTATGACATCATAATATAATGCAGTCTGCTGCAGTTGCAATTCACACATTGACAATGAATAACACATTCGGCATGATTCATGAAACTGAAAATGTGTCACTTTTCTTCCTGTTCTTTCAAATCTGATTGTTAACTGGAATATCACAAGTGAACCATTCAAATGCAATTGTTAAATTATAATCCATGCTATAGTCATGGCGTAAGCCCTTACATGTATTTCTATCATTTAAAAACACCCGTACCGTAAAAAATCTACAACGAAATGAATTCGGTCCGGAAGCCGTTTTGTAAGCAGAAAATTTCATGATTAGGAACGCATTTTACCCTGTAAATGCTTTAATCCGTTCTAAGCCCCACATAATGGTTAAAACTTGTAACAAATACATTTTGGATTAGATTACTGCATAATAAATAGAAAAAGTACACATAGAAAGAAGAATAAAGAAATAACGAATAAAAAAAACGAGTGGTATGTTTTTTAACCTTTGGCATTGGCCGACTAGGCTAGGCTGAGCGAAAAGCACGGTGAGTGGGAGGAAGGCGGTCGAAGGAGGCGGCAAGCAGTTGACAGGTGCGATAGAACGTAATGTATGAATATGCACACACACACTAAATTCAGAACACACACAGTAAATTCAAATTAAATGGCACTTAAACAGCCAGCAGTACGCTTTTTAAGTTCTCTTTTTCTGGCCTTTGGCGTATTTAGGAGTGATCGTTCTTCGATCTTTCGTTATACGGAGTAATTTTTTACTTTGAAAAGAAGTTTCGTAACTTGGTTTTTTGTATTCGAGGTCTTTCATTGGTTCAGGTTTTACTGTAATTCCCTTTAGGTCACTTATTCAGTCAGGTATGGAAGATAATATTTTGTAGCCCAATCTCAACAACATGGTGATGATATCACTACATCCTTATAGACAGACATCTATTAAATAGTCTGTAATAAAACGCCTATTTACAGTCTAATAGATTTATTAATTCTTTGTCTGCTAAGTCTCTTTTGTCAATTTGGGTTAAAATAGTATCACAGATCAAATGAAGCTATAATAAAATAAGTCATATGAAATAACCAACTCATTTTTTGTAAAAATCATTTGAAATGTGTTGTAAATGTGCCTAAATATTAGATATTTAATTGGGGAATTAATCTCAAGAAAGTGGCAGCATGAAGCATACCTGAAGGAATGTATGCTTATTAAAACATGGATAGGAGCACTAAAACACTCTTCTGCATTGTACGTGTACCAAAATTGTCAAACAATGCTTTTTATGTTTGTGCAATGTGCATACATTATCACCATCACCTTGTAATGCCTGTGATCAAGTACTCAAATGCAAACAAACCAACGGACTTTATATAATTTCCTGTAATCTACCACATTTGGTATGCTAATTTATAATTACCTACTGGCGTTAATATACACTATTGTAGCAAGATCATTGAACATGCATGAACTCTATTTATTTTGTTTCTTGCATGCGTGTGCAAACACTACAAAATGTTCAATAAATATAATATAGATAAGGTAACCTGAAGTTCAATACTGATAAACCTTAGTACCATTTTAGTTGTTTGTACAAAGGATAATATTTTTAAATGCAGAAGATACTAATTAAGAGAGGGTTGAAAAATACTCCTTTCCATGTTATTCAAAATTATACTAGTTTTTGTACAACGCTTTTTCCTGTGGAAGGCCCTATGGATTCTAAATCCCTGTTGGTTATAATCAAAATCCGAAAAACTCCTGCCAGACCACCTCATATCTGCTTAACTTACTTTTTAATTTCGTTGTTTACGCCGAAGCAATATGTTGTCTATAAAGACAATCATCAAAAAATTTAAATATTGTTGAATAAAGAAGAGCGTAACAACAACAATCCATGATCGCTGAGGTTTTGTGGTTATAAACTTCACATACAGATTGAACGGTTTGAAGCGAAAGGTTCGAAACCGCAGTCGAAAAAATTTCAATCTGCAGCTTGATAGCCTATGTAACGTAAAATATTCCAAATCTGTAAACTTACCCCATCAGCCAGTCCATTCCAGATTTTTATTTGCGGGTTCTCTGACCAGAAGAATCTGAAGGAATCTTTCTTTTCTTTTTTCAAGCTGTTGAAATCCAGCTCTGATCACTGCGACCGAGGTTGAGTATATCTTCTTAAGCAAAGGCTAAAAATAAAAATATCATCGTAATTTCGCCAAAGAAATATGATTCATACTGATAGTGATGCAGTTTCGTTAAAGGGCCGAGGCCATCAAAATATGATGAAGTTGTGAGGTCATATGTTGTATTTAATGAAAACAATAAAATAAATAAAAACAAAATAAAAATAAATAATAAAAATCCATTGAATCAGAAATTGTACCGAATACTAGGCTAGGTTAAACGGGAATTTGAAAAACTTCACATTGATACTGTAGATTGAAATGAGGAATACAGATGAATGCCTATAGCTATACCTCAATATTATAATTGCAGATTTCTGCCTGCAAAAATTTATGATTAAATTATTCCGAGCTATTCTGATTAAATCAATGTATGCTATGTAAAATTGGGACTATATTTTGAATTCCCTTGTAACATGGCATGAGCTAACAATGGTACAATATTTTAAATTCACAAATAAATAATTCTAGATTCTATCAAAATAGAATTAAATATACTATAATGCAAAAAGAAGACATCAATTTTTAAACCTAATTCCCATCCTTCAAAAATCATAATCTCGTTTAGTAGCAGTATCTACTATGTAAATATGTTTGTGACAGACAATGGTTGTAAATCAAAATTAAACAAATAATAAACTATTTGAAAACGTCAAGCTCGTTTTTGGTATTGTGTATGGGATAAAACAACACATAACCAAAATACATCTCTCTCCCTATTCCACCATAAGATGAAATCACTACACAGTATTGCAAGAATCAGGAGTGTGTAGTCGGATTAAATTTACAATCAAGTCAAACTCCAGGTTGTCTGGTTCCAACTCTTGATTAAGATAGATTTTGACTCAAGACAACAGAGTTGCAAGACTACAGAGGGTAAAATGTATTTCCAAGTGTAAGCACTTCACGTTTTTATAATACTTACCAGAAGTTAATCTCCTTTGAATAGCAATAAATTCACATGTGACGGAATATTACTTTTCTTTCGGATATTTAACGGAAATATGGTCTGAAATATGTCACTCCTCAGATATCTGGTAGTTCCGTTCTACATGGAATTTTCCACAAGCTGTCATCAAATTTCACAGTTACTTTATTGCTAACAATTACCTTTCGACTGAAAAAAGAAAACACATGAAGCTAAGCTCCCTTTACAACATTAAACACATTAAATTGCTACTTATATGGCGAACAGCACATTTTTTGAATACTACTATTACAAAGCTTATATATATCGTATCACGCACGAACAAGCATAATATCAATCACAGAAAAACAGAAATTTAAATCTGATTCATCTCTGATTTGACTTGATCGGGTATGATATAAATAGAAAGTTAGTATTTTTTTACATATTTTACAATACAATAAATTGAAGTATTGAAATACATTGAACAAGTCAAAAATCTGCTTGGCTATGTGTTGGCAACTGACAAGTATAAATCACCAACAACCCTACTATCAGACAAATATAGAACAAACAAGAATTGTCATTGACAGAGCAATATAATATATATATAAACATTGAAAAATGTGATTGATAGCCGGATAAGAACTGATATTTTTATTCTTGTGTATTTTATAATTGCACAATATTACATTAAAACAAAACCATCGACACAACACATATTGTATTCAGGGAGATAGGAAAAATTTATAGTAGACTCAACAAGAATTTTACTTAAGACTCCAGACTTCGACACAAAATTTTGGAAGAATAGGTAAATGGGTAGTTAAGAACGCTCGTTCTGTGATTTTCTGAAAAAATTTTTTACTTCATTATCACCATTGTCATTCAGAATTTGAAATTACATCTAGACTCCAGGCAGTTTGAAAATTCAACTCCAGCTTCTGATATAGTCTTGGTATAATTATAAGTGTATAACCCAAGCATATTTAGTATTCCGAAATGATAGCCCACTAAAAAACTGGAGAAATGTGACAGACATTCAACTTTAGTGCAGTAAAGTGTTTTTCAATGTATGGTTTTTGAGTAAGTATGGGGGTATACACGGTACATGTGAGTAAGAAATGAAACATCTGTGGGTAATGCAGAATGAAATGCAATCAAATGATTTATTTCGACAATGTGAATCAATTCGGTCACACATAGAGGAAGATGGTCCCATTACATTTGAACCCACGTACATTTAAACCACGACAATTGAACCTGCATACTATTGCACCTATGGAATTTTTTTTGTTTTACGGATATTTAAACCTATACTAACCCGTGAGTTTTAGCACCCGCATATAGATTGAACCACGGATATACATATGGGTTCAAATGTACGGTCACCAGAGGAAGACAGTGGAACAGAAACAATGAGCATCTATTAATAATAATTTTGGGAGCAAATCGCAAATCAAAATGGTGCATATTATTGAAGAAAGCACTCTAAATAGTAATCTGAGTGGATATGATTATGGTTTTGTTATAAACTGTGTGACATTGAATTAATTCTGATTTTAAATAAATTCAACTTGAAGCAAAACTATAATTGAATCAAACTAAGCAGAATTAATTGAAATTTATACTTTGTAAAATTTCTAAAATAGGTGAAGTATTATTTCATGAAAAACACCAAAACGAGTATGAAGGTATGGTAAAACTGAAAAATGGCATAATTAACCACCCCTAATACAAATTACCAACAAAAACACAAAATAAATACAACAATATTGAGCAGTAGTGAGCAAATTATTTTAGGCCAGGATATCCACACACAAAAATACATTATTAGTAATGCAATGTGCATACAAATCAAATTTCCAATACTACGAATCTATCATCACCCATATACCATACTGAGATGCCTTACTTATTACGGGTAAAATAGGTTAATTAACAATGACTTACTAAAATGACATGCAGAATTATTAAGATATATGTATTATAATTTTTTGTTAGTTTGTTAAATTAATTCTCAATTCAAAACTAACTTGTAGTTTGCAAAGTTGACTTAGTTTTCACGGTTGATATTGCAGTAGTATTTTTCTTGATTACAACCAATGATTGCATTTAACTGCTTTCCTCGTGACCCAACCCAAATCACATTATATTGATCAATTCCATTCAACATTTTAAAATCAAATCACATAATTGTAAGTAAATCATGAAATATTATTTAGGAAAACTTCAACTATTTTTCGAGAATACTCTAGCTGGCGATCCTAACATATTCTGAATGAATGATTTAGATTTAGTTTTCTATCAAACAAAAAAACTGAAAACTATGATCATGAATTTTTAGTTTTGTGACATCGCTTGTGTAAATTCCATCTGGAATTCAGCACAAGCAAAGAAAATATCCTCTGAACTTTTAAAGCAGGAAAGTGGAAAATTTTTTATTGGTGGAATTTTATCCCATCGAACAAAGATAAATCAAACCTAGGGCAGTAATTAGTAGCAAGGAGTATTATTAATTAATGTAATGGAGACTACATCACAACACAGTACTATAATAGATATATGTGTATAATAACAAGACAAGTTCCAAGAAATTCTTAGTATGATAATGAATGTTGAAGTTGAGTAGTAAAACGTGTTCATGTAAATTCTTGTAAAAAGTATTTCGTGCTACTAAAAAATTTAATGCCCATCTTTCAATTCATTTGAATAAGATCCGAGATACTACACATGTGGTATATTTTTCATGGCCAGATAACTGAGAGTAAGTAATGAGTTTTGCAGTAAATTACTGTTGTATAAAACAAAACAACAGGACATAGTTAATATCTATAGATTTGGTTGAAAACTTTAATTGACCAAAATATTTTTCTGTGTATCACAGTGGTGATAATTTTTCAGTTGAGCACCAATTTTCAAAATGTAACCATCTATTAAATTATACAAGCGATCAAAGCTACAGTTTTTAAACCATTATATCTATCTAAAACATCTTTGCGATTAGATTAATCAAGGGCGATACATATGTGCTAACTAGCTTTACTATTTGAAGACACTAAAACAGTTTCTAGATTATTTGACAACAAATAACTAAATAATGGTGCAGTAAAGATGAGATCGACAAATATAACATAAGCATCACAACACGCCATGTAAATAGACTGAATGAATAGCTTGTTTTTACACAATTTGAAAAAGCATACGGGCATAAATATTGAAGATTTGGAAAATGAACATGTACAAAATAGGAAAAGATGACATCTGTATCCTAATATCTATATGTACAGTACCCAGTCAAATGCATGGGGGTTAATCCAGTTTTCAAACAGTCGCTATTTATTGGTGAATTACCAGAAGAATACTATCGAAGGCAAAATGGCAAGCATCACCCAAACTCTTGCACAATATCCCAAATAATATATATTTCAATAAAATTCCACCTACACCTATTAAACCCACTTCACCACCAGATTATTCAATACTTTGAAAAAAAATAAGTAAAGACAGAAAATAAAATAATATTCAGGTGTTAATATTTGAAAAAGAATAATTTTACTAGAAAAGTACTTATAAATTAATACAATTTTAGTATTATTTCCAGGCCCAATTTGTGTCTGATAATGGTAAGACAACCGATTATTGAATAAGGCACATTTTATTTGAATATCTAAATTTAATACTAGTTTCAATGATTGGCATGATAATATTTTGTGGAAGAAGATAAGCGACTATTGCAATATATAGTATCACATACCCAAAGAAGATCGCTAAGAAATATAAAAAAACAAGATATAATGACTTTACGATAAATCTAATCGTATGGACCATACAACAATGACTGATACACTAAAAACAACGCAAAATTATTGACAATACTGTAACAGATAAACCTCATACTTTCCATCCATTTTTTTATCAACATACTTTAAAATGGTATTATTTTGAATATTATAAACAGTAGATGTGCTTTTTTAGCACCCTGAACTCTGGAATTGAGGAAACAAATATGTGAAACAAGTATTGTATTCTCTTCCCCCAAGTCTCAAACAAGATTCATCAAATAGTTAGAGTTTTTGCTCTTGTTAGCCTGAAAGTTTTTGGCTCCTTTCCACTACAAATTGTTATTCTTTTTTATCCTTCTGTTTGCTAAATGAAGGTACTGGAAGTTTGCTAGTTACAGCAGACACGCCATTATACCCTCCAGATGCAACTGCTTTTGTTGCATTCACACCAACTTCAGCAGTTTTTGATACTACTCCATATGAAGTTTGTGCAACATATTTAACAGCACCACACCCCAGATTCAATCCAGCACCGACTGCTCCCGTCGTTGTGTTATATAAACCAGAACCAAGTCTCCATAGTATTCCACCTTGGGGCTGACTTCCAGCTTCAGGTGCATCTGTTTTCTTGCTGTCTTCATACGATACTCCTTTTTCGTATGGATCTTTCATATTTATACTCCGAAATAGCAATTCAAAATCGCTTAGAAGCGCTGGAAAAGCAAGTCGTTAACTTGCGGCAACGATAAAAAAGGAACTGCAAGTCTGCAAGTTCAGAAGTTGATCAATTCTAAATAACTACGGTAACTAATGAACTTATTATTCCTGTATTTAGTATTCTACTGTAAAACGATAAGGTATAATTACATCATAGGTCACACAGTGTCTACAAGAGATATAAAAAGAGCAAATCGTGGCCCATGTTTATCAAAACGCCACTTATGCACTAAAATATGCAAAACAAGGGCAAAACGACGACGCTAACGTGTAAATTCCGCTAGGGCGCCCAGCTGATCGCTGACGCTGATTGAGCGATGTGTTTTATTGCGTCATTAGGAAGTCGGAGAGACCATTGTTTCGTGCCTGACCGTCTGACAACGTACTCATCTGATTTACTTTTCTGATTAACATCGTTGTTAAATTGTAAATTAACAAAGTTCAACATCTTTTACTATTAATAATCACCCTGATTATTTGAGATTCTAAGAAACATCGGTGTTAAATGGTAAATGCCCAGTTCATAAATGTTTCTAAAATGCTTTTTCTAACATGTTGATTCCTCTTGTGTAGCTTATATTGTTGGGAGATGGAGCCTCGCTTATAGATGACTTGCACGGTTTATGACTTTGTTTAATCCGCCATTTTGGATGGCAAAAACACAGAAACGCCCAGCTCCAGAGTCCAGACCAAGCCGCTCGCTTCTGTCAGTTGCAAGTCGCATTTTTCGTTTCCGTTTAGTGTGGCTGTTGAAATGTTTTTTTTTTGTATTGTGCCGTTTGGCTGTACGTATGGACAACGAAATAGATCTTCAGTTATATTCCATAAGTTTCCAAAAGATCCGGAACGTAGATGGCGGATATCATCTATTAGCAGGACTGCTTGGTGTCCAGGTCATCTCGCTTGTGTTTGCGGACAGCACTTCGTTGGTGGTGAGTGATAATGTGCCGTTATCAATTCCTTCAAATATTCATAAGCTCTGGAATTTAAAATGGAAAGCATATGACAAACTGTCGTTATTGGTAGGCCTAGGGCAGGGGTGGGTAACCCCTGGCACGCGTGCCAAACTTGGCAAGCGAGCACATTTATTCGGCACGCGAGCGAGGCCTCGGAAACGAGATCATTATCCTTCAGATAAAAAGTTTCGAAATTCTGAATTATCTGATGAAACTTGGTGTTCGTTTGTAAACAATCCGTTATTTATTTATACTCTTTTTGTCCTTTCATGACATATATATGGCTACAAAGGAATATATTATTATGACGTAACAAATGAGTGGGCTGTCGAGAAGAGCGCAGCATTTATATGGCTACATTCTCACGGAATATATTTCGTCTGTGTCATCCTTTTCTTCATTTCTGCTTGATTTATGAAGTTGTACAGTTCATGTTGGTTAGAGTTACTTGTTAAGTTACTGTTATAAATTGATTTCGAAAGAAATATGAGCGATTAGGGAAACAAGAGAGAAGTGCAGAAAACGAATTATTGGGTGATTGGGATGCCATCAGGGATGGCCATTTCCGAATACTAAACTATTCCGAATACATTCTAAAATAGTGTTTTCGAATCTGGAATTCCGAATACATTCTAAAATCGAAAATAACACATTTTTGTTTTAATTAATTAAAACCCAGTAAATTAGGAAATAAGCTTCAATAGAAATAACAGAATGAAGCCACAAACCAACAGTATATGTACACAAAGTAATTGATAGTTTATAGCTATCAATAAAAAATGATAGCAACTTGTGACACAGTCAGTTTATTAACATTATTCACTTTGTACAAATGACCATATGAAAAGATAACCAAGGAGTTGTCTGACGCTTTCTATCATTGGTACCATGATATTACGATAATAGTCAAGTCTATTGACAAAAATACTACTTGTATTCAGATAATTGTGTATATTTTCTGAGTGTAATAAAATTTATTTGCAATAGGGGCAACAACAATCAAAAATCCATTATGCCTTTAAAAATTCTAATATTTAAGCCTGAGGTATTCTACTACCTACCAGTATATTGTTATTATGTGTAACATATTGTTGTGTTTGGAATTAGAAATAAATTAGTAGAGAATAGATAACCACCACTGCCAGCGCGCAGCCAGGATTTTCGAAATCGGAAATTCCCATTGCCGCCTGTAACACCCACCGCGATTTCGCGCTCGTTAAAAGAGCCGTCTTTTCAGAGTATAACGATCATTCTGTTACGTAAAATATTCAATACATGACAACTACGAGATTCTAAAATATCTTTATATATTAATTTAATGTGTTCAACGTAACTCGCGGTTGCTTCTTCTTACGTCAAAAAAAACATTACTATTTGGTCCACGGCGATCTGTGACCTAAAATTACGAGATAAACTGCCTGATGTATTTAATTTTAATACGTATTTTTGCAATCTTGCCAACTCGTTATCGCCGTTAGAAAAATCTCAAATAATTATATAAAATCCTGTTAAGTGTAGAGTATAATTCATTTCATACAATGAATATACATATAAAGTTTAGCAGTAAATTAAAAATACATATTCATCGCCGCGGTTATGCCACCTCGACTTTTACAACAAATAATATAACAACGAATATATATTTTTCTGTTGTGCAAAGTGATGAATTCGTGACCGATACGGGCATATTTAAAATGTCTTGCTTTATTATTAATTTAATTGTCTTCATTTTAACCTGCGATTGCGTCGACAAAATAAAATCCTCACCACTCTTATATACCATTGCAATCTGCGGTCATAAAAATAAAAACATGAGGTAAACTGTCCGATTAAATATTGTTTTGATCCGTATTTTGCGAATTCGGCAAATATTTAGATGTACTTGTTAACAGTGACTCCGCTCGATCGAAATGCTGCCACTCTGATTATTTTTAGATAAAACCGTTCGAAAAATCCATAAATATGCTGTAATATCTCAGAGTAAAATTTATTTCATCACAATGAAATTGATTGAATATACTTTAGTGTAGATTGATTATATTATATACATCCTCACAACCCGGGAAAAAGTCGCGTTTCAAACCTTGTATCGTGTTAACATGAAAATATTCGACGGCAATTCAAAGTAATGGATAATCAGGCAAATTCCGCCCTCAATTAGTGACGATATGTTTCTAAACGCCTACCAAACATAATGTGTGCCAGAGGCACACGAAATTTTGCGATTTTCACTGCCTAGAAAAGCGTTTTATAAATTTTCGCGGGCCTCAATAAAACTTATATTGTTTACGGTTTTATTTTCAGTATTTTAAATTGCCGCTTTTCAATCAAAAAGTTGCGTTGTCTTTAGAAACTCGCCGCCGATGAACGTATTTACCAGATTCACAATTCCGTGCGCGTACAAAAATAAAATAAATGTTATCGTTATCGTGAAACAAATTTGTGAAAAATTTTCGTTTTAAAGTAAATAACACAATCGTAAAGGCGTTTACGGGCCTAAATAAGACGTTACGCTGATGAGTGATGAAAACAATCACGCGCAAGTTTCTATCGAAAATGTTTTCATTCAACGGAAACGTCTTGAAAGCGGCGTCGAAAATGTGTGACGTCACACAAATATCCGATATTCTTATGAACGTGAATTCCGATATTCGAATGACGAGATATTCGAATACATTCGAATACTTTATTCGAATTGGCCATCCCTGGATGCCATTCCCCAAAATCTTGCGTGTCCTAAAAGCCAGTGGCGGCGCGTCAATAGGGCCAACCGGGGCAATGCCCCGGTTGTTTTTTCGGTATAATAAAAAATATTCGAAAAATACCTCAATATCGGTTGCACAGACTGTCTACACTAGCCATATTCTCCCGACATGGTTCATTTTTCGCTCACAAAGCCTTCGCCGAACGTCGACGGGGCGACGCCGATTTTGCCCCGGTTGCTCATTGTATATCGTATTCTCTCTTTTATCTTCCACTCGCCGCGTTTGTCTCGTTTGTTTTCTCTTTCTTTTACTGAATCATCGGGGCTAGCCCCGAGATTATGACGACACAATGCCGACGTTTCTTACAACAACGTGTTGACACATTCGCGCATTCCTTCTCGTTCGTTGGTTGCTTGAAGAGTTGATAGTTTCCTCGCCTTCGTTTTTGTCGCTTGTTTCGCTATTTGAATCAGTTAGAGACCTTTAGTCCATTTGCTTTCGATTTTCCACATTCCTTTTGAGCTCCTCACTTCTTTCCGGCTTCGCATTTCTTAGCCTTAGACCTCATAATGAATAAGGTTGATGCACTACTTCGCACTCCGTTTTCGCAGCTGCCGCTGGAACAAAAATTAGAGGTACAACGTCTTGGGCCTTTCAACCAAAAAATTGTTCACTGGAACAATCCCATGACGGAGGAAAGCGTCGGCGTACATTCTGCGCAGAAACTTGGTATAAAAAACACGAATGGTTGTGAAACACGAATGCTACCGCCCGTGACTCACGTTGGTGTAAATTTGGTTTTAGAGATCTTAAACATCTTTCCGAGCGTGCCATGGATCATCAATCTTCTATGGAGCATCTGGACAATGCAGTAAAATACCGAACATTCGGAAATGTTAATATTGCAGCACAGTTGGATGAAGGACGCGCGGTTTTTATTCGTCTGCACAACCAAAACGTCGAGCACGATGGGCACGATGAACGGGCTGGCTCTTCTAATAGAGGGGTATTTTTGGATATGGTGGAATACACCGCATCCCTAGATACAGTATTGAGAGATCATCTTGATGCCGCAACTGTTTCGAAATAGACATCTAAGGATATCCAAATGATTTGCTCGACTCAATGTATAAAATTTATTTACAACATTTGGCTCTGGAAATTGAGAATTGCCAGTTCCTTTCGATTCAGTCTGACGAGACAACTGACATCACGTGCGTTTCCCAACTGGCTGTGATTTTTCGGTTTGTGAAAGATGGTAAACCTACCGAGAGATTTCACAGCTTTGTACCAA